TACATAAAACCAAAGAACGAATACAGGAAGAGTTCATCCATACACTAAATTCAGCATCACACAGATCGAACAGGTACAGCAATAAGAACAGGGTACAAGATCTCAAACAGGAAGCTGCGTGGTCTGAGACTCCGTGGCTGAGTCTCTGTGGAACCGTCTGGCGTACTCTCTTATCCCAAGGTGGCCTGTTCCCATTGGCGACAGCGAGAAGTAATGACGTCAGCGCCAACGATGATTGACAGGTCACTTGGCCAATCACGGGTCCCTGGAAAGTGAAAGTAACCGAGAGAGAGCGGGATGAAAAAAAACACACACACAGGAACGTAACACCCCTTTTCATAAGAACAAACCTATAATAATTATAGTTTGTTAAAATAAAATAATTTCATTCAGGGAAAAAAACAACAAATATATACATATATCATATACATAGCCTACCCAAGCCTACCCCAAGTCAGGCTAACCACACCTAGAAAGGGCATCAGCCACAACATTTTCTGCTCCTTTCTTGTGACGGATTTCCAAGTTATAGTTTTGCACAATCAGAGACCAGCGCATGAGCCGCTGATTCTGATTGTACATACGTGAAAGAAAAACTTACGGATTGTGGTCTGTATAAACAATTACAGGGAGAGGACTAGAACCCACGTAAACCTCAAAGTATTGCAGTGCCAACAGTAATGCCAAAGCCTCCTTCTCAATGGTCGAATAATTAAACTGGTGTTTATTAAATTTTCAAGAAAAATAGCACACAGGATGTTCCATGCGGTTTTTATCCTCTTGAAGGAGTACTGCACCAGCTCCTAAGGCACTTGCATCAACCTCCAGTTTAAAAGGCAAAGCAAAATCCGGAGCTGCTAAGACTGGAGTACTACACAACAAAGCTTTTACACTATCAAACGAATGTTGGCACTCAGCTGACCAAACAAATGATTTAGATGGACTCAGTAAACTCGTGAGTGGATGCACCACACTAGAAAAGTTTCGACAGAAACTACGATAGTATCCTGCCATTCCCAAAAAACGGCGTAACTCGCGTCTGGTCGTGGGAATGGAAAATTCATTAATAGCAGAAACCTTAGCGGCTACAGGTCGAACTTGCCCCTGACCAACCTCCTTACCAAGATAAGTCACCGTTGCTTGGGCAAATTCGCATTTGGCTAGATTCAGTGTTAACGCAGCTTTTTCCAACCGTTCAAAGACAGTGTGCATCAAAGATAGATGTTCTGACCATTCTGAGGAGTATACCACCAAGTCATCCAAGTTCTCATTACAATTTGGCACACCCGCCAACACCAGGTTAACCAACCTTTGAAAGGTAGCGGGTGCGTTATGCAAACCGAACGCCATAACTTTGTATTGCATAAGGTGATCAGGTGTCACAAATGCAGAGATATGCGATGCACGACTAGTTAAAGGCACCTGCCAATAGCCTTTTAGTAAATCTAATTTAGTAACGAAACGTGCAGAACCAAGGTTATGAATGCAATCCTCCATCCGAGGAAGAGGATAGCAATCTGGCATCGTAACCGCATTAACTTTCCGATAATCCGTGCAAAAACGGAAAGTTTTATCTGATTTAGGAACGAGTACACACGGCGAACTCCACGGACTGTAACTAGGAATAGCTAAACCATTTTCTGTTAAATAGTTAACTTCTTCTCTCATAATAGCTCGCTTGCATGCATTAACACGGTACGCATGTTGTTTGATAGGGGGAGAATCCTTAACATCTATGTCATGTTGTAACACCGAAGTCTTAGTAGGTGTGTCATTGAAAAGAGTAGGACATTTTTCAATCAACTGGATAACATCCTGTCTCTGAGCTTCGGATAGATGAACTAAATAAGAAGGCAACTTCTTCAACAATTCTGAATTTCTTAGTCTAGTACACTGCTGTGGTGCATTACGCAGCACGAGACCATCTTCATCCGCCCCTGTTCCGACTGAAGATGAAACCTCGCCGACTACTGCAACAGACGAAGCCACAGGTACAGATTTTTCCTCAGTTTTCTCCGAAGATCTCTCTCTACAATGACATGCTTTCAACATATTAATATGACAGACCCGTGACTTGCGTTTCCTATCAGGAGTAATACATAAGGACCTGAAAAACGGGCAGACAAAGCTGATCCCAAAGTGGGCAGTAACACGAGCACTTGGTCACCGGCATTAAAAGAACGAGGAACGGCTTTGGTGTCATATCGACACTTCATAACTTTTTGTGCGGCTGTAAGTGACTCCTTCGCCTGTGCCCACGCGTTATGCAAACGCTCTCTGAAACAACTGACACCTTCAGTGCCTCTAGTTCCAGCTGTCGCAGCTTCACCTCCTTCTCAGCTTCTACCTCGAGCCTGTGCATTTCGAGCTTCAAGTCCAACTCAGCCTGACGCGCCTGGGTCCTTTCCTGTGCCTTATACTGTAAACGAGCCAGACGGACTCTCAAGCGCCCGTTCCCAGACCCAATAGAAGCAGGGGAGGACGGATCAAAAGGCGTCAAGACAGCCTTAGTATCAGCCCCGACATCAACCTCGGCAACTATCTCGCCCCGCTCTTCGTCTGATCCCCCCTCACTAGAAACCCGCGCGCCAGCACCAAGTGGCCCGATCTCTCTAGCACTTACACCAGGCATCGTAAAAATGTTCAACTCACCTGTCCGTCTCTTTCCGAACTAGCAACATACAGTGGTGTACTGTATAATCAAGTTACATAAAACCAAAGAACGAATACAGGAAGAGTTCATCCATACACTAAATTCAGCATCACACAGATCGAACAGGTACAGCAATAAGAACAGGGTACAAGATCTCAAACAGGAAGCTGCGTGGTCTGAGACTCCGTGGCTGAGTCTCCGTGGAACCGTCTGGCGTACTCTCTTATCCCAAGGTGGCCTTTTCCCATTGGCGACAGCGAGAAGTAATGACGTCAGCGCCAACGATGATTGACAGGTCACTTGGCCAATCACGGGTACCTGGAAAGTGAAAGTAACCAAGAGAGAGCGGGAAGAAAAAAAACACACACACAGGAACGTAACAGTAGCGCAGAATCAATTTTGCGCTTCTGTCCGAGATCACCAAAAATTCTTGTGCATCTTGAAAGGCGAATGGGTAACACTTTACAATACGGGTGCACTAATATGCATTAATTCATGTTTAACTAATGCACAGATAGTCATGAGTTAATGTATGACTCATGAAGAACTAAACCATTAATTAATTATTACTGCATCAGCAACTAATAAAGAGTCTATATGATTAATAGATTAAGTAATACATGAATTGCTATTAATTCAATGTGTCATTGTGTATTAATTCCTTAATAACATATTTTATTAACCAATAGTGTAAATGACTGTGTTAATTCCCACAATTAGTCAAAGCTATGCACTTCAACTTCCAGTTGTCTGCTTTAATTAATCATTAGCAAATGATTTGCAAAGGTATCATTATGTTATGACTTTACTTGTTGAGGCACATGACTATTAACTAATTGTTTAGTAATATGTAATTTTTTGTTTTGACATTTCAATTTCCCGCCTTCTACAACCGGGATTCACTGTGCCAGATGAACCGCCGCATCCGAACAGTTAATGGCCCAGGAGTGTGTCAGGTTAAGCTTGAGCTCTAGGATTTAAAGGAAGAACACTGAGAATATGCGGCCGGGCTCTGCTGTTTCATAACACTATGTCTAGACCGGACAAAGAAACTAGAACCCATTATAATCAGTGATACAACACTGGATGAGACACAATGCTACACGACACAACAAAACCCCGACAGTAAACTGATGCCTCACTCTATTTGTATTTCAGATTCTGGTGTGCTGATATTTGTGTGCGGCCCAACTTACCCATCCTTCAAACACTCTCTGACATTACACTCACTGCATGTGCAACTGCCCCACAGACCTTTAGTGGGGATGACAAAACCCATAACCATAATGACATATTACTAAACAATTAGTTAATAGTCATGTGCCTCAACAAGTAAAGTCATAACATAATGATAGATTTGCTAATCATTAGCTAATGATTAATTAAAGCAGACAGCTGGAAGTTGAAGTGCATAGCGTTGACTAATTGTGGTAATTAACACATTCATTTACACTATTAGTTAATAAAATATGTTATTAAGGAATTAATACATGATGACACGTTTAATTAATAGCAATTCATTTATTACTTAATCTATTAATCATATAGACTCTTTATTAGTTGCTGATGCAGTAATAATTAATTAATGGTTTAGTTCTTCATGAGTCATACATTAACTCATGATTATCTGTGCATTAGTTAAGTATGAATTAATGCTTATTAGTGCACCCGTATTGTAAAGTGTTACCAGCGAATGTTTTGGATAGTCTGCAGCAAGTTTTTGTGCCATCTAGTGGTTTAGAGCAGTGGTTCCCAAACCTGTCCTGGCGACCCACCAACACTGCACGTTTTCTTTGTCTCCCTAATCAAACACACCTGATTCAACTTTGAATCAGGTGTGTTTGATTAGGGAGACAAAGAAAACGTGCAGTGTTGGTGGGTCGCCAGGACAGGTTTGGGAACCACTGGTTTAGAGGAAAATCAAATCAAAGTCTTTTAGGAGCTCCCGGGGAGCCTTTAGCCCCGTTGTACCATACTTTTTCACATGACCTTGATGATTAGTTAGGCTAATTCTGAACACAGCCACATACCCAATTATAAAAGAGTGTGTAAGGTAGTTAGGTCATTTTAATTTTTTTTTTTATGTGTACTTTGTATGCGGTTGTATGCCATATAACCCCAGGTGACCTATATTTAGATTTTATTAATCTGCATGTTGAGAGACTTGTACTGTGATTCCCTATGGTACTCATGTCTGTCCTCTTTTTCTTCAGATCATTTATTTTTAGCTTTTAAATGACTGGGTCACTAAAAGAGGCCTAAATTCACCAGGGACATACTCATTGGAAAGTCTATCAAATATCTTATCCTATCATGTCTTTGCCTAATTGTTGAGAAGAGGTGAAGAGGTAGAATGAGAAAGAGAGTATAACATGTTTTTTTAGTGCTGAAAAACTGCACATTGAGTCTCATTTTGGTGGTCAGACTCACTGTCCTGCAAGATCTCACCTGGACTCTATCCATTAGACTCTTCTTTTTACTCTCCTGTTTATTCATTGCTACTATGCTGTCCGTCTGGATTGTCTTGGTTTCCTGCATGGATTTTCTCTTGTACACCTCTGCAGAAGAGGGTCTGGAGTTTCCCAGTTTTGATGGCAGGGACAGAGTTCTTAATGTCAATGAAAGGAACTATAAGAAGGCTTTAAAGAAGTATGACATGATATGTTTGCTGTATCACGAACCCCTGTCTTCAGATAAGGAGCTCCAGCAGCAGTTTCACATGAGGGAGATGGTTCTGGAGGTAAGGAATTATATAGAGAAGGGGGATGACTAAAGAATTTAGTGGATGAATAGGGACAATATAAAAATACAATATATTATATGGTATTTCTTATACCATCAAATACGCTGAACAGGTTTTCAGTTTCTAACACAAACACACACACTGAAAAAAAATATGTTCAACGCATATGATGGTATGTTCTAAATGTATGTCATGCAATATATCGGTCCCTATTCATCCACTAAATTTCATCCCCGTTCTCTTAATAATTTAAACATAAAATCAACGATTGTTTTAGATGTTTACTCCAAATAAAATGTATCAAAGAGCTACAATTTATTGCACCAGGGGGTCAGACTGTACATCTGTTTTCTGTGTCTAGACAGTAGGCTAACTGATGTGCAATTTAGTGGAAAGACTGACCTGATTTGGAGGCTGACAAAGGATTCACAAACAGCAATGCTCGGTCTGCTTATGATAACAGAGCTGTCAAGTATACTTTTGACTATGCAAATATCAGCCATCACAATCTACAAAACTGATCCAGGTTAAAGATTCCTTCTTAGATATACTGTGGAAATGTTGCCCCAGACTGAATTGCTATTACAGACTAAAGGTGTTTGTAAAAACTGGCAAACTGGTTTCCCTTTACTTCTGAATTTAAAAAATGTTCCTCAAACAATGAATGTACTGATGTGTCTCTTCCATGCATCACTAGCTTGCTGCTCAGGTTCTCGAAGACAAGGATATTGGTTTTGGAATGGTAGACTCACATAAAGATGCTAAAGTTGCCAAAAAGCTTGGTAAGAAGATTTGTTTTGAATTACTGTGCTAATAACAACATTGCTTTGTAGATTACATTTTCTTACTTACCCATTCAATAAAAATGCCTGATACTTCTTGGTATCTTTGTGGTTAGGTCCTGACTGAAATGTGATCTTTGTTCATCAGGTCTGGAGGAAGAAGGAAGCATTTATGTTTTTAAGGATGAAAGAGTGATCGAGTTTGATGGAGAGCTCTCTGCAGATACACTGGTTGAATTCGTGCTGGATGTGAGTGAAATTTGCTGGGCTGGATAAGCGTCAGGTCTCTGACTGTAGTTGATTTTATGATATCTTAGCAGAGTCTATCTTAATTCTTCAGTAACATCACATATTTATAATAATAAGATTCATGTTCTGGATCACCATTATTGTAATTTTTGGATACTTATTGCAGGAATATTAAACACAAACTTTAGGCTTGTGAATACTGTGGCTCAATGGAATATACTAACATTTGACCCATTCCTTTTCTTCCCTTCTCTGTGTGTGTCACACCATTCTTTAGCTGCTGGAGGATCCAGTGGAGTTGATCAGTAACTCCATGGAACAACGCGCTTTTGAGCGAATGGATGAAGACATACGCCTTATCGGGTACTTCAAGGGTGAAGAATCTGAGCGTGAGTGGCCTTTTTGCTTCTCATTTAAGTTTGTATGTAAAATTATAATTTTGTGGTCATGCTCTAATAAGTATGACTCACTCATTCCATTCATTGTGGATTTATGTGTTTATGAACTAGTTATATAGTGTCTTATTTGGCCCAACATTTTTATCAACTCCAGAGACATATTGACTTAGAACATTTAGGATCTCAAAGATCTCTTATTTAAGGCTAGTATCAGATTTGTTTTATGTCCAGATTATATTTGTATATATTTATTTTAATGTAGAGTTCTTCTATTTCTATTCCATGGTGTCAGGGTTCTGCCCTGGCAGCCTTGTCTGTGTTGTCATTGTTTCATGTCTCTGTTTGTGTTTTGTGTCAGCACATGGCTTTGTCTTTGTTTGTGTTTGCCATGTGCTTCTTTTGTCCCACCTCCTGGTTTCCCGTTACCACGCCCCCTTGTTTAGTCCTTGTTTCACTAATTGTGTTCACCTGGTCCTCTTGTGCCATTTTCCCTCTTGTCTTTGCTGGTTCGTTGTGTGCCTTGTGTCTTGATAATCTTGTCCTGTATTTATCCTCTTGATAGTTTTTGATCTTGTCAAGTTATAGATTTTGCTGTATTTTTTCCCTAGCCTTGTTTTAGGCTTATCTAGTTCCATTCCGAAATGTTTATTTTTGGGGAAAACTACTTTTTCTCTGAATTTTGAAGCCTCTAATTCAAAAAGCGCAGTGCCTACTGCACAGCCACAACAGAGTGGCGATCTGAGCGCTAGGGATGGGCAAATGAAGTATCATGAAGCACTGAGGCTTTCCCCCTCAATTCAAAGCTTTGAGAGTGTCAAAAATAGCGCCATCTGGTGTTTAGCAAAAAATAAAGCAGCCAAGACCCTGTGAAAGAAGCTTCATCGGACAAAGCAGCCACTCTCTGTTTTCTCTCTGTGATAAAACCATCGGCCAAACTCTACGAACGCCAGCTCCCCACCCCATCACGACGAGCTGCCGTCTGAACTGATTCAGCCACCAAGCCCCAATGCCTAGAAAGCCATGCCCGGCCTGTCAGAATGGGTGCTAAACACGGTGATACAAGGTTACTCGCTTCAATTTGCTCGAAGACCACCCTGCTTTGGGGGCATAGTCCACACTTCGGTCTGGAGCAACGTAGCACACGTCCTCCGCGTCAAAGTAATGATTTTACTGGCGAAAGGAGCTGTAGAGACAGTTCCTCCTCCCCACAGCTAGTCAGGCTTCTACAGCCGCTACTTTCTTGTTCTCAAGAAGGATGGTGGCCTCAGGCCCATATCAGACATTTGAATCGCGTCCTCATGAGACAGCTGTTCAAGATGCTAACATTGAACAAATCCTGTCGCAAGTATGTCCAGGGGATTGTTTATTCTTCTTCAGTGGATCTAAAAAATGTATAAATTCATATCCAAATAGCCCCCCGTCGCAGACAGTATACGGTCCTACCATTCAAAGTGTCTCTGGCCCCACACACTTTTACAAAGTGCATGGATGCAGCACTTTCCCACCTGAGACAGAAGGGGATGCGCATTCCCAATTACCTTGACAACTGGCTCATCCTGGCCCAGTCGGAGGAAGAGTTAATTTTTCAAAGATCTGTGCTCCTCAGCCATTTGAAATGCCTAGGACTCCAGCCAATAGCTCACTGTCTCCCAGCCAGAAAATCTCTTTCCTGGGAGCAGTTCTAGACTCCGCCCGAATGAGGGTGTGGCTAATCCATGAGCGCGCTCACGACTGTTCAGCGGCTCACCATTTCGTTCAGAGAAGGGGCCCTTTCCCCTCCAGAACCTTTCAGAGGATGCTAGGCCTCATGGCCTCTACATCGCCAGTACTTCCACTGGGCCTGCTGCACAAACGCCCCCTCCAGTACTGGCTGAAACCCCAGGCCCCAGCTCACGCATGGTGATAAGGTCGCCTCCATGTCAAGGAGACCACGGCTGCATCACAGCCCTGGCCCCTCGGAAGGACCCCAGTCATTATCAGATTGGAGTGAGCATGGGGTTGGTCTCGAGAAAAAAAATGGTCATGACGGAAGCTTCCGACACAGGTTGGGGAGCTTTTTGCAAGGGCAGACCGACTTCCGGCTCCTGTTCGAGCACGGAAAAGCGGCTGCATATCAACTGCCTGGAAATAATGGCGGTTTTTCTGGCCCTCAAAACCTTCTTACCAGACCTAATAGGACATCACGTCTTAGTCTGGTCAGACAACATGGCTGTAGTGGTCTACAAACACCACCATGGTGGACTCTTTACAGACTAGCCTGACTCCTATTCTGGTCACAATGCAACCTGCGCTCTCTGAGAGCGGTGCATGTGCCGGGCAGACTGAATCAGGGAGCAGACATTAAACCAATCTGGAGCATCTTCGACAAGGCAAATATTGACCTCTTCGCCTCCGAAGGCAACTCTCATTGCCCAATATTCTTTACAAAGAACATGGATGCGCTGGCCCACAAATGGCCAAGCCTTCCCCTTTATGCCTTTTCCCCGGTAGCGCTGCTCCCTCAGGTCATCAAACGGATCAGAGAAGACAGGCGTGCTGTCCATGCGCGTAATTTGCACGGGGGTTACGGGGGTCATGACCCCCTCAAAAATCAGATCCAGCTAATATAACACCCCCCCCCCCCCAACCCCCCAATATCATCACATCATTCAGATTAAAATAAATATGAAATATTTCGAATGAATACTTTTGTTTGTTTCTTTATTAAATTCATTTGCCAGCAAGAAAGATTTTATTTATTTTAAAGTATTATATTTTAAATAATCTGTAATGTACCCCCCGCACCGACTACTTGGTATTACCCAACCCGCTTTCTCTAAGTTTGTTCACTATTTTGCGCAGTCGCTGGGATGAATGTTTGGAGAAAAAGCTGACGGTGCATGCTAACGGATGCAAAGATGAAAAGGACACTGAAATGCAGCCAGACAACGATTTTTCATTGTTGGTCGACACCAGCCAAAAAGAGGAAAAATCCTGACCAAACGGAGGTACCCCATTTCTAAGTTAGCTGTTAAGTTAGCTCAGCGTTTCTCAAAGTGGGCGCGGGCGCGGCCAACTGGTGGGGAATAGAGACATGACAAGTGGGGTGCGACAAACAGGTTTTGTGCCCATCTTTTTAAATCCTTTATTTATTGACCATACACTCAAAACAAAAGAAAGACACATTTAAATGTAAGCCTTACTTAACCTTTTCACACGTTAGTTTAAAAGTTTTTCAAGGCGACCGTTATTGATCATAGTATCACTTTATGGTTCCCATGGAGACGCGTCATTCATTGCTTGTCATACCGCAGCTGAATGACTGATGATCTGCTTTTATTTCCTTTTTTATTAAAAATTTCACAAATTTGTGAGATATAGCAGGATATATCTGATATTCCGATTGTCAAATATGTGCAAGTGGATGTGTTTTGTTGTTCAAATATAACGATCGCGTTAGTTGAGCTGTATGCGCAACGTATTTTAGGTATCACTAAAATTCCTAAAAAAATACGTAACTTACATTAGGAATTTACCACCTCCGGCTCAATTTGAGATTATTATTATTATTATTATTTTTATTTTATTTTTTAAACACTTAATTTAACTACTGTGTCATTATGGCATAAATAGTCAAGTGAACAGCTGCATTTACGTTAAGTAACGTTAGCCTAAATCAGTAAAAGTATCACAATGTATTTCTAATACAGGAACGGCAAATTAGCATGTTACCTTTTACACAAGAAAATTATTCAATAAATAAATAAATTAATAAATATCCCGCGAGTTTAACCCCCCCAATGGTAGACCCAAAGTTACGCCCTTGGTGCTGTCCTTATGGTGGCCCCTCTCTGGCGGACCCAACCGTGGTTCCCCGAGTTGATTCAGCTGCTTTCAGCAGCCCCATGGCCAATTCCCCTGTGGAAAGACCTCCTTTCAACCTCACGTAATCTGCCCTGTTCGGGCCTTAAGAGTATACATTTAGCGCTCTGACGATTGGAGATTTTACCATTTTGAGGTCCCTGCGCTGCAGGCACAAATCCTCTCTGCCTAGCTGGAGTTGACCTCAGGGCTAGCTCAAGCCGCTATTACCCTTCCAGAGGCTCTGACCTCAATCCGAGCCCTTCTTTGTAGGCATATCTTGCCCTTCCCTAGCCCTATCACCTAGGCACCCTCAATGGAGCGTTTCAGGCTAAGGCGAAAGAACATGTAGTTCTGCTCACATAGCACAGCGCTGTTGGATTGGTTCCCCATAGCGTCTAACAAAGACGCAAAACGGGTAAACGTTTCGAAAGGGAACGCCTCGGTTACTTATGTAACCTCGGTCCCTGAGATAACGGGAACGAGTATTGCGCAAGTCGGCCATGCTATGTCGCTTCACGACTGGTGTTTGTTGCTTCAGTCGAATTAAACCTGATTCCTATGGCGAAATGAGCTGCTTTATAGGCAGACGCCCTGCCCCTTTCGGCACTCACTCGGCTGGATGCGCCACGATTGGCTCGCGCAAACACACTGCTTCGCCATAGTTTTGTGCAGTTCCCACTTAGCAGCCAATGAGCACGCTTATATCACCGCTCTGTTGTGGCTGTGCAGTAGGCACTGAGCTTTTGTAAAAGGCTTCAAAATTCGGAGAAAAAGGAGTTTTCCCCATAGCGTCTAGCAAAAACGCAATACTCGTTCCCATTTTATCAGGAAACCAAAGTTACGTAAGTAACCGAGACGTTTTTTGATTTTGTTTCTCTCTCTAGTTTTGTAGTTCTTATTTTTTCTCTTTAGTTTTCTGCAAGGGTGCAGTTGCATTTTGTTTTTTGGCCTTGTCATGTATTTCTGGTATTTCTTTGCTTTTCTCTTGGTTGCTAGGTTAGGTTATTTTGAGAACTTTTCTCTATTATTTTGTTCCTTTTCTAATTCCAGTTATATAGTAAATTTGCTCTTTCCCTAGTCATTATTTTGGCAGTTTTTGTCTCTCCTGTTGTATTGTCTTGAGCTTTGTCATGTGTGTTGTGTTGGTTCCTGCCCTACTTGAGCTCTCTGTGTCTTTCCTGGTCGCTGACTCTCCTGACCTGGCAGCCAACTCTGGTCCCAGTGTCAAGCCTCTGCTTCCTTGAGTTACTGCCCCGTTGCTGTAAAGTCTGGAAATAACACAACTTGTGTATTATGCATCTGAGTCCTCCCTCTCAGAATTCCTGACACATGGTCTCTGCCTAGGGAATAGGCAAAAGAGGAAATGTAATGTCCATAAGTTGAAAATGTAAAATATTTTGGCTTTTTTTTTTTAACAATTGTTCTGTCATGACAACTCTCAGAGTGTTTGACATGATAATAGATGTGACAATGTTGATATGTTTGGTCTTGGCGGAATAGATCTGCTATGCTGCTGCTGCAGAGCAAGTATGGGACTTGTTACTGCCAATATATACATGACACTGTTGTGTCATACTGCGGCTGTACAAAATAGCATGCATGAATAACCCGTTGTCAAGGTGTGGTTGTACTAAGCGCACGGCGAGTGGAATTGTAAACAAAAATGTCTTTATTATAATCCACAAGACAAACACATGAGAACATTGGAGATCACAACCACGAAAACTCTGACAATACAGGACAAAGAAATAAGTAGAACTCAGGGCTTATATACAAACTGGGTAATCAAGGTAGAAACAGAACAGGTGTGGGGAACTAATTAACAATCATAAAAACAAACCAATGGTGGGAAAATAAGAACAAAGGAGGCTGGAACTAGAATAAAACCAAAATAGAACATACTCGTGACACCCGTAGTAGGTGGAGCTGGGGAGGGTGAAGGGATTCTGAAAGTGCACTGCAAATTGCTACAGCAAATGCTGACCAAATATTTGAAGGTTGAGCAGTGAGCTCATTGGCTACTGATACAGCAGGAACCAATCAGCTCTGTTCTATAGAGAATTAAGTGATTGCAAGCAGATTGAGTTAAGAACTGATCAGCCTGCGCCAGCTAGAGTTTCATGACAGAACTTTGTATTTATGATTTACAGCTCATGAATTATCAGTTGATTATCTGTGCATTTGGGGGTGTTGTGTTTGACATAATTTGTGGCCATGGCTCTGTTTAAGCCTTTTCTAACAGTATGTCATGTTAAATCATACAAGTCCAGATGTCAGCTTAACCGGGCCCTGTGGTAACCCCACATACTATTAAAAGCTGTCTAATTGTTCAAAGACATCAAAGCAGTTATAGAGCTATTCCCTAAAAAGGGCATTGGAGAGAGTAAGGTGAGATAGAGTTTATCTCGATTACACGACTGCTATACAGTTTTTATTAAAAAATACCATTTCAGCTGGGAGATTGCTGAAGCCTTTGCTGTGACCTCTGGATATGATGTGAAAGCACTAGCTGCTTGATGCTTCAGCACTAAAATGTTTAATTCCCAGTGTTTAACATTTTATTACAGTTTTTAAGGGTTAATGGATAATTATAAATATATGTGTGTGTGTGTGTTTCACTTTCTTTTTATTTCTCAGACTACAAGGCATTTCAGGTGACTGCAGAGAAGTTTCAGCCATATGTGAAGTTTTTTGCCACTTTTGACAAAGGGGTACGTGCAGTCCATTCCTTTACAATAAAAAAAGAATGAAGGCCATTAGATATTTTTCTGGTATATGTTATTCTGGTATAAAAGTGAGAATATATTTGTGTGTAAATGGCTATGACCATCTTTGAGGAAACAGGGTTACGTTTTGGCTTTATTTATAACCGTTTCATGCTGCAGGTGGCTAAACAACTGACTCTAAAATTGAATGAAATCGATTTTTATGAGCCCTTCATGGATGAGCCTGTAACCATTCCTGGCAAACCTAACTCAGTAGAGGAGATAGTGGACTTTGTTAATCAACATAGAAGGTGATATCAGTGGTAACCTCAGAACTTTGACATTGCTAAACTATCATCTAAAATATCCACTTTCATTCTAAAAACAATGTTTGATCCTCCCCAGGCCCACTCTGAGAAAGCTTCGTGCTGAGGACATGTTTGAGACTTGGGTGAGCAAGACTGGATCTGTAGGACTGATCATGTCACAGTCACCATCTAATTGTCATCGTCTCTGTCACTGTCATGTGTTAGTCTCCGTCTGCACTACAGTTCCCATCATCCTCCTTGGCCCACACCTGCACCTCCTTCATCCGTTCTGCCTATCAGTGTTCATATGTGTCACCTGGTTTCTGTTAATCTGTGTTTGTATTTAGTTCCTTTCAGTTCAGCCATGGTTCTTAGTTCTAATTAGTGTGTGTGTGTGCGTGCGTGTGTGTGTGTGTGTGTGTGTGTGTGTGTGTGTGTGTGTGTGTGTGTGTGTGTGTGTGTGTGTGTGTGTGTGTGTGTGTGTGTGTGTGTGTGTGTGTGTGTGTGTGCGCGTGTGTGTGTGTGTGTGTGTGTGTGTGTGTGTGTGTGTGTGTGTGTGTGTGTGTGTCAGTGTTGCCAAGTCCGCTTATTATAAGCAACTTTGGGCTTGTTTTTCTGTAAAGTCGCTTACAAATATTGGTAGTTGCGGGTCGCGGTTTTTTTTGGGCTTGTTTCTAAAGTGTAGTTGCTTATTTGGGCTCGTTCCCAGCTCGTTGTCAAGCAGATATTTTCTATATGTTATTTAAACGTAGGAGTTTGTCTTGCCTGTTCCCTCTGTCCCTCCCCTTTCCCCATACACACAGGAGACAGTAGAGTTTTTTCCTACCCACATCCTGCTTCTAATTGGCTCTGACCCAGATGGCAAACGAGTACTAGCCAATCAGAGGCAGAGCAGGGCAATCGTTTTTTTTCTGGTTAGGAAAACGTCAGTGAGTGACATTTAAATGAAAATACGTGCGAGGCGCGACTGATGGTGAGTTTTTATATATTAATTATATTATAGATATAGATATTATAGTTTAATATTGTTTAACCCTTTAACTGTCACTCCCCCTTTTTTCGCATAGATAGGCATGAAAATCACTATCCAAACTTAAATGGTTGTAATTCAAGAATGCTTTGGAATATAGACCTATGGTTGGTCTTGTTTTAAAGAAGACATTTGCCAGAATATTGTTGAAGTGAAGTATTATGAAATTATGAAAGTGGAACAGAAAAAAAGTTATTCAAGTTTGAGTTTATGAAAATGAACAATTTAAAAATATAATTATTTATATTTTATATAATATATATATATATATATATATATATATATTTAACAAAATGTATTTTACTCTAAAACTGCAAGAAAATGTAAGCCAAAAATCTGAAGAAGTTGTGTTCCAAATTTTAGGTTGATATCTCAAAAAATGAGCTTCCAGTGAGATTTTATTTGGGCGCAGTACCAACATTTTTCACTAGATGGACGGCCAAGCTTCATTACTGAAGAAAAATAAACTGTACCGTGTGAACAGTTTTACACAACTGCGCACAGTTTACCAATCTGTCCACATGGATGTAAATTGACAATCTGTACCCACAGTTTAAAACTATCCGTCCCCACGGATTATAAAACCGTGCACACAGTTTATTTATTTTTCTCTTCCCGGAACCTAGGGGGGCTCCGTAGAAAAAGCTCTTTTACTGTCTGTGAGAAAAAGTCGCTTGTTTTGGGCTTGTTTTCACGGGCCTGGTTGCTTATTTGTCTCGCGAGATCTGGAAACACTGGTGTGTGTGTGTGTGTGTGTGTGTGTGTGTGTGTGTGTGTGTGTGTGTGTGTGTGTGTGTGTGTGTGTGTGTGTGTGTGTGTGTGTGTGTGTGTGTGTGTGTGTGTGTGTGTGTGTGAGTGTGCGTGTGAATCCTGCCTGTCTGTACCTGTTGAAATCTTATATTTAGTAAAAGTTTGTATTGGAGCCTTCTGACTCATCGTCTTCATCTTCCTACACCACACCGTGACAGATCTATTGAATGTTAACTGTTGATTTATATGGTTGCTGGTTCACTGCTTAAGTGATCTTTCTCTGCTCAATTAACAGGAAGATGACATGGATGGAATTCACATTGTTGCCTTTGCTGAGGAGGAGGATCCAGGTTGTCACTTCCAAAATAAAAAATTGTTTACTGCTATCACCAAGACTAGATTTTGTAGCTCAGAATGATTGTATTAATAGCTCAATCACTTAATTTGTGCTTTTTCTCCCATTTCATAGACGGGTATGAATTCCTGGAAATTTTAAAGGACGTTGCAAGGGATAATACAAAAAACCCAGATCTAAGCATAATGTGGATTGATCCTGATGAATTTCCTCTGGTGAGATGTTATCCCATCCATGTCTACAAAGTATTTCTCTGCTTAAATTGAAACAGTTATGACAATGTTGTAATAGCTACTTCATCTGCAGTTAACTACTTACTGGGAGAAGACCTTTAAGGTGGACCTTACCAGACCCCAGATTGGTGTGGTGAACGTGACTGATGCAAGTAACTTTGGCCTTCGGTTTTTATGTTATTTAAGTATTCTACTTTTTCTGTCCTAGCCTTCATCACTGTGAAAACACCTCTTGTTTCCTTTTAAAAACTTCTCTACATTGAAATATGTAGGCTGTATATTACACATTTTTAGCTTTAAACTATCATACCCTTTTGAGGTAAAGTTTAACATAACATAACCATAATGATCTACAACGATAAAGCATTTTAATCACACACTATTCTTTAGTAAACTTTAAATTGACAGGCCTACTGTAAAGCCTACACTTACTAAAATATTCTTTATTTTATTTAGTTTTATTTGATAAAGACACTACAGAATAACAGTGTTGCAATAATTTGAGCAGCAGATGCTCTCTGTAAATATGCTTAACTAATATCTATTCTGCAGCATGTATGTCTGGTTATGCTTTTAATAAGAACCAATGAAATCTAACAACCAACAACCAAAATGTATAACACAGTAATACAATGTATGGCAACACTTTATTTTGATGGTTCCTTTTGAACATTCTGTTGACTAAGTTACTTTGGAACTACATTTCAACTAACTCTCATTAGAGTATTAGTGGACTGTCTGTTTAATATCTGCTAACTCTTTATTGTGGTCCCTCAACAGACATTCTACTAACTATATGTAACTTTGCAAGTATACATCTACTTATTCTAACCCTAACAGTCTACTAATACTCTACTAACACTCTAATGAGAGTTGGTAGACATGTAGGTGCAATGACAGACAGACAGACAGACAGACAGACAGACAGACAGACAGACAGACAGACAGACAGACAGACAGACAGACAGACAGATAGATAGATAGACAGATAGATACAAATAGATAAAAAAACAGCTTATAAATCATACTAAATTATTTTTTGAAAATGTGAAAATGCAGAAAGTTTTCTCTGATGGATAGGTTTAGGGGGATAGAATATACAGTTTGTATAGTATAAAAATCATTATGTCTATGGAAAGTCCCCATAAAACTTGGGAACCCGTGTGTGTGTGTGTGTTTTATAGGCCGACAGTGTGTGGTTGAACATGCTTAACGATGAAGCTCTACCGTCAGCTGAGGAGCTGGAGGACTGGATTGAGGATGTTCTCTCTGGAAAGGTCAATACTGAGGATGATGATGATGATGATGATTATGACGATGATGAGAGCGAAGATGATAGTAGTGATGAAGACCATTATAGTGATGACGATTAAGTGGTATATACACTCGGTAAAGGAACGGCAGCTATGGTTGCCAGAAAGTTACTGTAAAAAATATGGTACAGCAACATTTTAAGTTTTATAGACTGAACATAAATTTACAGAATTTATTTTATTTCATTAACTGCAATGATGTTTATCAAATTACTAACATCTTTAATATACTGACAACCACACAGGTGGTAAAGAAAAAAGCCACATGAATCAAAGGTCATCACAAATAACTGTTCCACAAGCTGATAATAAATGTATTAACTGAAAGTAAATAGTAATGTATAAAAGGTGCACACAGTGTCTTACACACAAATACAAAATGGTACTATGGTGGTAACACACGACACTAAATTTATGCCATGACAATATTAATTAAACAACATAAGATGTACTGTCACATAAAATACATAACAGATAAGAAAAAAGTAGATAAATAATAAACCCATAAAATGTGAAGTCTTACAAAGGGAATTCTGGGATTGTCAATTTGTTTTTTTGCTGTACATTATTAGATGACTTGATCTTTATCACTTCCAAAAACTGTACATTTAACAGTATTTTACTGTAAAAATGCATGAAATGTCTCATTAGATCTATTCCAGGTTTTCACTGCAGAAAGTAAGGGAACCTTACTGATTAACAATTAACAGTTTTTACCGTAGCATTTTAGTATTTTACTGTTAAAATTATAATTTTTTACAGTGTAGAAAAACTAAAATCATAGAGTACTGTGATAACTAAAAAAATATTTCTACAATGTGTTGATGCTATCCATTTTAATTACTGATGGTTTATTTACTGCAGAGTTTATTTAATTAAATGTATAGGATTGTCTGCATTGCCAGCAAGAGATATTTGATGATGCAAAATGCAAACCATATAATTATTTATCTTTTTGGTGCTGCTTATTCATAAAATAACTGGTACTGTAATATGGTTAAGAAATTGTGCATTCTGTAGTGTTACTTGTGATTTGAGGAACATGTCTTGTACTGGGAGGACAACTAAATGTCAACATGTCCAATAAAGAACACAAAATGTTATTCTACTGTGTGTACCTACTTAACCGTGTTGTGGAGACAAAGTTATACCTAAAAGCGGGCTAAATCTGACAAGACCTCGTTTTGGGGACATCCAGCAATATCCTAATTTGTAGTTAAAAAAATAAAAAACAATAATTAGGATATTGCTGGATGTCCCCAAAAGGACATTTTCTGTTAGGATAATGTTATAGTATTTATAATAAGCTGTGTATAAAACAACAGAAGTCTATGGAACATCCCCATATACAGTAGATATTTATGTAAATGTGTTTAAGGGGGCGTTGGCCTCCACTCATGTTAGTGCTATGAGTGTCTCATTAGCATGAGAGCAGGGCTCACTCTATCATCTCACCTCAGCATTCTCTAGGAAGGCTGAAGAGCTAAATTTACAGTTGTGGATTGTATTTGCACATACAGGATTAAAGGCAAAAATGTCTCACAGGATTAAAGGCAAAAATGTCTTACAGGATTAAAGGTACACTCTAAATGTAGAGTGTGGAATTAGTGATTAAACTTTTAGTATTTACAGTCATAAGGGATGAATAATTATTATCTGCCATACATGGTGAGGTGATTGCAGTGAGCTTATGAAGTAATTAAGACCAAACAATCAAAGTACAGTTGTCATCAAGGAAAAAACACTTTATAATACTCTGCCTAGCTAAGATGGTTACTTTTTAACCTCAACTAGCAGTAATAAAAGTCATAGATACATTTTTCAATCAGATCCCCTGATATGATTGGGTGTACAGTAGTACATACCGGTAGTAAAGCACTATATAAATGCCTCATTTTATTTTAGTAAATTTTAGCAAATGTCTATTTGGTTCAAATGTTTGATGAGAGCTTCGAAGCATATTTTTTAAAACACAAAATCAGGCATACCTACAGTGGCCTTTGGCAAGTGAGACGTGAGTTGTAACTTGTGAGTAGGAATGACTTAATAACACACATACATACACACACTGTGTAAAACAGAGGCACAGTCACTTCATGAAAGTGGTTTATATAAAGCAAGTCCACATCAGTCGTCTTAAAAAAACGTCGTAATATAAAGGTTTCAGTAAAAAAGAAATGTGATAACATTGGAAAATGATAGAGAATGCGGGTCAAGTGAAAAATAATGTACCCATAATAAAAAGTCTAACTTAAAATTCCAGTCTACATGCCAAATCAGGCCAAAATGTTGGCACATCCATTTGTCCCCTCAAGAGGGTGCTGTGCTTTTTAATTATTTCAGTAGTGATAGAAAAACTTAGAGGTATAGTTTACCCCCTTCCCCCTCCCCCCAAAGAAAGAAAGAAAAAATATTTTCATCTTTACTTACCCTCGTGTTGTTTCAAACCTGTATGACTTTGTTTCTTCTGTGAAACAAACAAAAATAATTAAATAAAATATTTAGAGAAATGTCTCAGTGTTTTTTTGTCCATACAAAAGTCGACGTCAGTTAAAACTGTTTGGTTACCAACATTCTTCAAAATATATATTTTTTGTGTTACACAGAAAAAGAAAGAAGGTCAAAGTTTGGAATGACATTAGCTTGAGTAAATGATGACAAAACTTTTTATTTTATTTATGAAAAAATAATGACATGATACTTTTACATGATACATTTTAACTTGTGGTAAACTGGTAATGCTTTGATATTCCAAATGTCCCCACTCTGTTTAACAACAATTTTACTTAAAACCAATTGTGCTCTCCTTAACCTGTTAAGTGTCACCCCCCTTTTTTTTAATATACATGAAAATGCACATTCCGAACTTAAATGGTTGTAATTCAAGAATCCTTTGGAATATAGACGTAAGATTGGTCTCGTTTTAAAGAAGACATTTGGCAGATTTAATTAATTAAGAAAGTGAAACAGAAAAAAAGTTATAGAAGTTTGAGTTTATCAAAATGTACAATGTAAAAAATGTAATTATTCATATTTTATATAAAATATATATTTTTAAAACCTGGGCGACTCCAAAACTGCAAAAAAAATCAAAGCCAAAAATCTGAACAAGTTGTGTTTCAAATTTTAGGTTGATATCTCAAAAAATTAGCTTTCAGTAAGATTTTGTTTGGCCGCAGTACCAAACTTTTTCACTAAATGACAACCAGACCCCATTACTGCCCATATAAGGGCACCTCCATTTCCATATGTGTTTTGAATGAAAATGAACCATTATTTCCACAATTTTCATACAATTTATGAAGTAGACATCCTATTCAGAAGTAATATGAGAAGTTTGGCAGATTTTGATATGAATTCAACCTCTAAGAAACACATAAAAATAACAAGTGTGTGCGTTATAGCTTCCTGCCACATCACAAATGGTGAATCTATAATTTTTTTCTTTATATTTAAAAAAACGTCAGACCTTTTTTTCTAAAACAATTGAATGTATGCTATCTTTTGAACTCTTGGCATGAAAACAAACTGAGGTTTCTACCCTTCTTTCATGATTTTTCATGTTCATCACTATTTCAAAATAAAGGTCTAAAAACGCCTTAGGAGTATGAAAATATTCTTGTTGCAAATTGATAAATTACGGCTATGATAAATTACAAATTGATAAATCAATCACCAAATATGGAAACTAGAGATTGTAAGCTTTCAAATGATATATAGTTTGTTAAGATTAGTTTAGGTTTAGTATGGGATATTACTGTTTTAAAAATGTAATGGATTTGGGCCCACCGGTGGGCCGGTGACACTTAAGATTAAACAGGGCTCACAGCAAAAACATTCTTAATGAAGATAAAATTACAACTATGACAGATTACAACTATTTCTCAGCGTTATCTCAATATTGGCAGACAAATCACTCCATTTCTCAGAGTGGACATTCTTAAATTTTATAGACCTAGATGGCATTCTCATGGGCCATGTTCATGACAGTTTTCATAGCTAGAGTGCCATGAGGCATAGAGAAGGAAAGAGAACAAGACACAAGAGATCATTTCAACTCATTTGAACAGCTAAAATTGAGTCCTTGTCCAATTACATCTCCCTATAGACTGCTGTAAAGAGCACCTCTTAAAATATATGATATGCCAACATACAGGCCAAGCACCGCTTCATTCCCAGAGATCTGCGATTTAAGCATATGCTTTCAGTGATCCTATTTTTTCAATTATCATGTGGGAAAAAAAGAAAAGAGATGTGGCAAAAAGTAAAAAAAGTAGGCTACATTTAAAAGTTAATTTGTTGTGTTAAAAAAAAATACATGACAGTATCCTTCAGCACAATTAGTAGTCTCTGTAGTAGTAAAACTGTAGTCTCATCTATTTTCATCATTCTTACCACTTTGTCATGTAAATGTACTCTCTGAAATAAGGTCCAGAACTTTTGATACTTGTAGAGTTGTGGCATGATCACTTTAAATATCTGTATTGATGTTACGTCACTGTGGCAACCCCTGTTGAATGAAGCGAGTAACACAAATAAAACCAGTCTAGTATCTACACTCACACGAGCTGCATGTGTATTACTCGACACTCTACATGGTGTCAGAAGTGGCTGATAATGGCTCAAGGACTCCGTCGTATAAATCCACTAGTTTTTGACGTCAACGTTGCCGACAACTGGCGGAAATTTGAGAAAGAATGGACAATCTACTGCAACGGAGGACTGTCGGATAAATCTAAGAAAGTTCAAGCCTACACGCTACTGAACCTAGCCGGCCCGGAGGCTGTTGAAAAGTCGGACTCCTTTGTTTATGGCGAGGGGGAAAGTCACGAAGAACCAGAGACTCTTCTGGTAAAGTTTGCTGAATTATGTCTGCCAGCGAAAAACGTCATTATGGACTAGCGGCATGTTTTTAACAACGCTAGTCAGGGAACCGGTGAGTCTATTCAGGCGTATGTCTCCACTTTAAAAATACTGGCTCGATGACACTGTTGCCCCCACAATATGTGCTCCCCGCAGGATCCCCATTGCCATGAAAGATAAGGTCAAGGTGGAGCTGGACCGAATGACTGCCCTTGGTGTAATTACGCCAGAAAACGACGCAACAGAATGGGTGTCTGCCATGGTTGCA